TACCATGTTAGATGGACTCTCAAACCATGTATTGACATGGCTAAGTTTAGAACATGACTATGATACCCATGTATTGACATGGCTAAGTTTAGAACATGACTATGATACTCATGTATTGACATGGCTAAGTTTAGAACATGACTATGATACTCATGTATTGACATGGCTAAGTTTAGAACATGACTCTCCACAATAATATAATATTGTCCACTTTGAGTATAAGCTTTTGCGCTTTGCTTTGAGCTTTTCCTCCAAAAGGCCTCATGATTATAAACTCATGATCCTTCCTTAAATTAGCCGATGTGAGACCTTTAAAAAGCCTCACACCAATGAACACCAATGAAGATGATATTTTTTTATTATAAACTCCTCATATGAGACTTTCATGATCATTTTCTAAATTAGACTTTCATCCAACTTAGCCTAAACGCACCAAAAGAGTGTCCTTTAAAAAAAAAAATAGTAATAAGTTCTTTTTTTTTTCTTTTCTATTTGATGGAGTATGCATAAACAGCTTTTGCTTAATTACTAATTGTAACCGACTTTTGAGTTATCAACTATTTTCATTTATTTAATAATAATAAATATATTTTAAAACTTTAAGAATATTATTAAAAGTAAAAATTTAGATTATTTTCGTAAGACGGTGCAAAGTTAAAAATATATTTTATATAAAAACCTATATAAAAATAGTATTTTAAAAAAAAGTTCTATAACTAAAATAAATATTTTGAAAATTGTTTTAAATGCTTAAAATCAAATAGAAAAAAAAATATAAATTCAATTAAAAATAAAAAAAATTATTTGTGTTTTAAAAATATAAAAATAAAAAGAAGATTCTTAAATAGGCCTGGATTCAGTTTTAAAAGTATATTAAATATCAAATACATATTTTTAATAATTATTGAAAAAGAGTCATAATTGATCATGCATGTGAAATAATAGCCATAAACACACCACGCCAGTCCCAAGTCGCATCAATTTAATGATTTAAGAGATTACTAATTATCAATACTAATCGATGTCATATCTTATTTGTTGTGATTCAATAATTTATTTAGTAAGATCGACTCATTATTGAAGTAATATTTCTTCATTTACAGAATAAAATTCAACCATTCTTCAGTATACAAGAAGTAACTATTTATGAATTTCTTACTGTAGAAATAGAAAATGTAAAACAAATTTGTGTAAGTCGGCAAAAGCGTCTTCAAACAATGGAAAACTGTTCGAATATCAATCATAATTCTAAAAATTTTATTGTAGCAAGTAATTTTAAAGAAATCTTAACGAAACAAAAGTCTTCAAATAAGAACAATTTTCACATATATATATATAGACAAGAACAATATGAAAATTATGTTAAAAAATTAGAATATGCTATATAAACACAGGCAATTGCATACATATAAGTTGCTCGATGAATAAAAAGTTGTGCAAAACCAAAACGCATTTCCAGACGATTTATACACCGAAAATTGGGGGAAATTTACCTTTGGCATTCAATCGCTTCCGCTCCAGGGAACCTTGTCGTTCATAAGTATAACCACACCGTACCGTTGCAAGAATTTTCACAATCGGCCGCGAATTAAGCCTCAAAACGCCTCCAATAACAAATCAATTAGAAATTTAGCTATACGCCGTGGTCATCTCCCTCGACGTCTCCGTGGAAGACGGCGCTGATTTTGGCGGAGAAGCCGGTAACCTAGAGGAGAAATTTCTGAGCGGAAACGCATCATCAACATGTCCTTCATCGTATCCTTCATCAAAATTAAGCGCATAACTAAGCGCATCGTAGTGAAAATCGACGGAAGCAGAAGAATGACGGCGAGAATGGCGGCCAAGTCGCGAAATGAAATGCGGACGCCAATCGGTCTTAGACTCAGGACTCTCGCGAGATCTGGATTTATCCTTGGCAGAGGAACACCTCGTGAGCGGACTAGGCACATCTCCATCAGAGGAAAACGACATCCGCCGTTGGTGTTGGTGGCGTTGAAGGTGGTGGTGGCCGTTCCGGTGCCTACGAAGGCAGCAGGACAAACACAGAGAAGATTTGATTTTCGCCTTCAGAGACGACGGTGATGCATTTTCTTTATGCTCGTTCGAATCGTCCATTGGAGAGAATAATGGTAACTGAAAAACGCTGTAAGAGAAATCTGAGAAAATCGAATAATAATGATGGTGCTGGAAGAGAAATGAGTGGTTTGAGCGTTTATATATACCCCGTAGGTGGAGCCTGAAACTACGAAAAAGCCCCCGAATATGTATGTGTAAAGAACCAATAATGAAACTTAAAAGGGTATCCTTGTAATTCTACCTCTCACGGTTAAAATTGTGCCTTTGAGTCGTTGCCTTTTCTTCTTTGTACGGTTATAATTCTTCGTTTACCTAATTTTGATGGGATTTTTCTAATTTTCTTTATTAATCAAAATTAGAATTTAAATATAAACTTATTTGCATTTTTTTGCTAAATTATAAATATTTTAAAAAAAGTTAAAATTTAGTCTAAGTATTTTATTCTAGTATTATCAAATCTTACTAAATTTTAATTAAATTTAAAATACATACCATTATTTAAGTAGAATAAATAATTTGAATTTTAATTAAAGCGCACTCGGTTGAAGTAGCTGTAACGATTCAGATCCACCGCTGATATTGTCTTTTTTGGGCTTTCTCTTTCGGGCTTCCCCTTTTGGGCTTTAAAATGCATCTGCAAGGGGAAGGTTTCCACACCATTGTCCGATGTCTGGACGCTGGCACTCTTTCCTTCCTCCAATCGATGTGGGACTGCCCCCAAATCTACCCTCTTTGGGGCCCAACGTCCTTACTGGCACACCGCCTTGTGTCTACCCCCCTTCGGGGAAGGGGGAAGGTTTTCACACCATCGTTCGATGTCTGGACGCATGCACTCTCTCCTTCCTTCAATCGATGTGGGACCGCCCCTAAATCCACCCCCTTTGGGCCCAACGTCCTTACTGGCACATTGCCTCGTGTCTACCCCCTTTGGGGAAGGACGAGAATGCTGGCACATCGTCCGATGTCTGGCTCTGATACCATTTGTAACGACCCATATCCACCGCTAGCAGACATTGTCCTCTTTGGGCTTTCCCTTTCGGGCTTCCCCCTCAAGGCTTTAAAACGCGTCAACTAAGGAAAAGTTTCCACATCCTTATAAATAGTAGTTTGTTATCCTCCCCAACCAATGTGAGACATCACAGTAGCAGTGCTAGAAGTGTACGTAGGTTCATTTGAGATGCATTAAACATTTTTTTGGATCAACATGAAATTTCAGTGTGGTTGGGTTGGTGATCTGAATGACGACCGAGATAGGGTTCACAAACTAACCCAACTCAACCCTTTATTTTTAGTTAGGTTGTCGGGTTGTTCATTTTTTTTAATTATTTAAAAAATATTTATCCATGGTACATATTACACTAATAACTAAAATTTCATAAAACTCAAATATCAAATATTTACCGACTTGGGCTGTAAACCCTATTTTTTAAATTGATACAACTAAAAAAGTCAAACCGACCCATTATTCACGTCCCGAGTTACACAATTCCGTTCAATTTTTTAGAACAAATGTGTGAAGTGTTTACCGTAGTAGGTGTAAAGATTCAACCGAAGATATCTTAGAGATCGATCGATCCTATGAACCAGAAAAGGACAAGAGTAGAAATGTCACCAATGAACCTCGTACAATAACCGAACTACGAAAATAACAAATTCCTTCAAATGTTGTTGGGCCCAGCTTTAACGCTACAAAGCCCACAACCACACAAATAATTAAATAATAATAATAAATGTTTTTTATTTTACAAATTCGTAAATAATAATAGTTATTATTCGTAAATAATAATAATAGTAATGTGATATCCCATATTGGTTGGGGAGGAGAACAAACCACCATTTATAATATAGGTGTGGAAACCTTGTCCTATCAGACGCCTTGAGGGGAAGCCCAAAGAGGACAATATCTGCTAGCGGTGGATCTTGGCCGTTATAAATGGTATCAGAGCCAGACACCGGACGATGGTTTTAAAGCCTTGAGGGGAAGCTCAAAGAAGACAATATCTGCTCGGTGGATCTGGGCCGTTACAAATGGTATCAGAGCCAAACACCAGACATGGTTTTAAAGTCTTGAGGGGAAGCTCGAAAGGAAAATCCCAAAGAGGACAATATCTGGGGCGTTATAAATGATATTAGAGCCAGACGCTTGGCCCCAAAGGGGGGTGGATTTGGAGGTGCTAGCGATGGATCTGGACCGTTACAAATGGTATCAGAGCCAGACACCAGACGATGTGCCAACTTTCTCGCTGTTCCCCGAAGAGGGTTGACATGAGGCGGTGTGCATGTAAGGACGCTTGGCCCCAAAGGGGGGTGGATTTGGAGGCATTCCCACATCGATTGGAGGAAGGAAAGAGTGCCAGCGAGGACGCTGGGCCTCGAAGGGGAAAGAGGACAATATTTGCTAGCGGTGGGCCTGGGAAGCCCGAAAGGAAAAGCCCAAAGAGGACAATATTTGCTAGCGGTGGGCCTGGGTTGTTACAAGTAATGAGTAACTTATCTTTTGTGCTATGTTCGAGTTCACCGAACACCACTATTTAAGTAAACCTCACCCGAGAGAGAGAAGCAAATTGAAAATTAGGGAGAGCTTTGACCTGAAAGGGCTATATTCGAGTTATGCTTTGACCTGAAAGGGCTGTCGGGCTCATGATTTTAAAACGCCTCTATTAGTAAGAGGTTTTTACGTTACCCTCTCCGATAGATGTGGGATCTCGTAATTCATCCTCTTCGAGGTCAACATCCTCATTGACATACCACTGTCTCTAATACAATTTGTAACCGTTGAAGCAGACGGATAGGATATATGCTCATTTAACGTATCGAACTAAAATTGAATTAATATTAACTTTTTCTTAAAAGAAGATAAACACAGATCCACTATGCTTTATCTTTTAGTCTGTAATTTTGTAGGAAATTTCTTCCCTTCTTCCTCTTCCTTGTTTTCTCTCACTACTTTCATGAGAGAGAGAGAGAGAGAGAGAGGAATGATTGAGAAAATCGTTTTGTTATTATTGTACGTTTTACGCTCACCTTCAATGGCGGGGACCCGTTTTTGTCCATTACCTTCATCATTTCCATGCTTCGTTGGCCTTCGTTCTTTATCATGATTTTAATTCATTCTGATCCAATTTCCCCATCTTCGATCGATCTTTCCAGTTCTTTTCATTTTGTTCTTCGTGTTCTTCATTTTTCTGTTTCTGGATTTGTTGTTTGATTTGCTGGAAATGAGAGATTTCGATTGGAATTGTTCTTTTTCAGCGCATCTGGATTTTGGTTCATTTTGATTAAACTGAGAAACTTCATTGATTTTGAGTTGAAATTTTTCTGGATTTGGCGAGTTTTTCTCTGTTCTTTGTCTTTCTGGCTTTTCAGCACTGTGTGGTTCTGATTCATTTGCTGAAACTGAGAAACTCCATTGATTCTGAGTTGAAATTAGTGAGTGTTCGGGGATTTTATAAGCTATGTTTTCGCTGTTCTTCTTCATCCGATGAACTCCATTGATTCTGAGTTGAAATCAGTGAGTGTTTGGGGATTTTATAAGTTATGTTTTCTCTGTTCTTATTCATCTGATGAACTCCATTGATTCTGAGTTAAAATCAGTGCGTGTTCGCGGATTTTACAAGTTGTCTTCTCTCTGTTCTTCTTCATCTGATGAACTCCATTGATTCTGAGTTGAAATCAGTGCGTGTTCGCGGATTTTACAAGTTTTCTCTCTGTTCTTCTTCATCTGATGAACTCCATTGATTCTGAGTTGAAATCAGCGAGTGTTCGAGGATTTTACAAGTTATCTTCTCTCTGTTTTTCTTCATCTGATGAACTCAATTGTTTATCTGCAATTATGCTCTCATTAATCTGCTGAAACTTACAAGTTCTTCAAATTTTGAATCAAAATCTGCTCAAAATCGTCTTCGAATTTATTTCATCTAAATAAACTCGTCGATCCATGGCTGGAATGTTGCCTGGAGTTGAATGCGCGAGACGGCGGCGGTTCCACCAGAGCATAACGTCATCGGACTCGGCGTCCACGGCGGCGAAATTAGGATCCACAAGAAGGTCCTCCTTCTGTTTGTATGCAAGCAACCGTGATTTCCACCTCACTTCATCTTCTTCACAGGTATCAAAACAAATCTAGAAAATTCCATCACATCCTTCGAATTTTCCGTTTGTTTCCCGGGAAAATCTTGATGAATGATTTCAATTGTATAAGCAACGGTGCTCTTCGAATCACGCTTACCAGGACGAGAAGCTTGGGCAAGCTGCAAGAGAAGCTAAGGAACGGTTGGATGAGAGGTTGAGAACGCACAGAAAACCTGAGAATTCAAGGTAATTTCTTCATGAACCACCTTATTTCTTCATAATTTTGTTTCATCTTTTATATATATATATATATAATAGTAATTAAAATATTATTTTAGTTGATTTTTGTCCTATGATATCCCAAGTTGATTGGGGAGGAGAACGAAACACCCTTACAAGGGTGTGGAAACCTTTCACTAATAGATGTGTTGTCAACTTCTCCCTACCTGATAGTTATATATGCAGTAAGCCGTTGTTGTTGCATTTTGCTTACATTCTCATATATAACACTAATTTCAATTTTTCAAATTTTACTTTCGAAATCTCTCTGTCCTGATTTTCTAAAACTTTCTTCTTGAACCGAGCTCAAAGGCTCGAGCATACGTCGCTTGACCGTAGGAATTTCAATTTTTCAAATCTTACTTTCGAAGTCTCTCTGCCCCTGTTTTCTAAAACTTTCTTCTTGAACCGAGGCCAAAGTCTCGAGCATACGTCGCTTGACCATAGGCGACGCAAGAACGAATAGGCTTAACTCACTTGTTGCTAGAAAGTGAGTGCTACCTTTTGCTTACATTCCCATATATAACACCAATTTCAATTTTTCAAATATTATTTTTGAAATCTCTCTGCCCCTATTTTCTAAAACTTTTTTCTTAAATCGAGGCTAAAGGCTCGAGCATACGTCGCTTGACCATAGGGCGATGCAAGAACGAATAGGTTTAACTCACTTGTTGTTGGAAAGTAAGTGCAACACAATCGCAAATCCACTGCCACCAAACAACCGCTTACTGCATATAACTATGGGGTAGGGGATATGACTAGCCTAAGCAAGATAATATCTGTTAGTTGTGGGGTTAGGTTGTTATACTTGAATTTCTAATTTTAGTTTATATAGTTTAATTATTTGATAATTTTTTTTTAAAAGGAAGTAGTTTACATTAATTTTCCTTGGAGCCTAAATCATTTGGTCTTTTAAGCATATAAATTGTTATTATTCTTATTTAAAAATTTAACTTTTAACTTACTAATTTTAAAAATATTTTAATCATATTTGAACTAAAATTAAGTAAGTAAAGAAAATAAAAACTATAAAAATTATTATTATTATTATTATTATTATTTTGTCTTCTATATTGATGACAATAAATGGGGGTTTTCGTGCATAATTAATTAAATTAAAAGTTTAAAGGTATAATTATAACACGAAACAAAAGTTGAAGGAGTTGATTGCAACCCGTAACAAAGTTTAGGGATTAATTGGTCAAATGTTTGTTTTAATTATTAAAACTTTAGGGTTAGAAAAAAAAACTAATTAAATCATTGTATTAATTTTCATTAAATTGAACTTAAATATAAATTTATAGCACTTGACCTAAAAAGAAGAAAGAAATATGAAAGATACATTTTTATATAAAAATTTAATAATAAAAATAAAAGAAAAAACCCTCCGAATAAATATGAAAAAAAAAAGAATTTGAGCATAGTTCAATTGATTATATATATTTTATCAAAAGATAAAATAGATGTAGCTACCGTTCCTATAATTTAAGCTTAATTTCAATTTGGTCCCTAGAATTTTAAAAGTTTCAATTTAGTCTCTAATTTGATTAAACCTTACAAATCGTCCCTAAACTATATTCGATAGCCATTTAAAAATCTAATTCACTTCTGTTTATTTTTACTCGACCCTATAATTTAATCCCGACAACTAACGAATTAGCTACTTGAAGGCTCTACTAAATTATCACAATAGAACTAATTCAAAATTTTTAAATCATGCTCAAACTACGAGAATAACCAAATTTAAAATTAACGTTAAAATCTATTAATTTTCTTTTTGAATTATAGGAAGAAGAGTAGTAGTGAAGAAGTAGGATTGAAGAAGGAGAAAGCGAAGGGAAAGGAAGAAACAACAACGAAGAAGAGGTTCGGTTGGGGGAAGCTAATGAAATGGAAAGCCTCCGAACAGGAAGAGTGCACTGTTTGTCTCGAAAAGTTCAGAGCGACCGAGCCACTAGTCCATCTTCCATGCGCTCACAAGTTCCACTCCGCCTGTTTGGTCCCTTGGCTCCAAGCTAATGCTTATTGTCCTTGTTGTAGGTACCCTATTCTCGCTCAATAACAAACGAGAAGTTATTCGAATAAATTAAAATAATATGAGTAGCAGTTTTCCATTGTAGATGTACGAGAGACAAATAAAAAATTAAAAATGACCAAACGGGACCTAAATTATTGTCGGAGAAAATTTTCGGTAGTGCGAATTACATTTAATTAAAAAATAATAATAATAAAAATTATAATTATAATTACTCAAAATGGATAATAAAAGATGAAATATTTGAAAAATAATTAAATATAAGTAAATAAATAAGAAAATGAAATCTCATGTCAGCATTTTACAAAATAATTAAAATTAAATGGAACAAAATCAGTTTGGTCTGATTTAGATGATTCAGCTTTCCACAATTTAATTCATTTTATTATCCAAAATACAAATTGGAGATTATTAAATATTACTATTACACCACTTCAATAATTTTATCAATAAAAAATAAATCGGTTGAAGAACGAACAAAACATCCTTTATAAATGTGTGAAAATTTGTGAGGGTGACGACGATACGTAACGGGCCAAAGTGGCCACTATTTGCTAGCGGAGAGAATTGAAATGAGCAGATTGGAATTCGTAGGCGTTTTTCACAACTTTCGGTTGTGGGTTCAACTAAAACCTACTTTTTCCCGTTTCTCTAATTTTATGATAGATGTTGAGGATTGTTGGGACGGAGTCCCAGATTGGCTAATTTAGGAATATGGGTTAACGAGTAAGGAATATATCTCCATTGGTGCGGACCTTTTGGGTAAGCTCAAAGCAAAGTCACGAGAGCTTATGCTCAAAGTGGACAATATCATACTATTGTGGAAAGTCGTGATTCCTAACATGATATCAGAGCCGTTCTCTTAACTTAGCAATGTCAATAGAATCCTCAAATGTCGAACAAAGAAGTTGTGAGCCTCGAAAGTATAGTCAAAAGTGACTCAAGTGTCGAACAAAGTTCAAGGGCTTCATAGGTCTCAGGGGAGGCTCTATATTGTACTTTGTTCAAGGGAGAGGATTGTTGAGAATTGTTGGGGGAGGGAGTCCGACATTGGCTAATTTAGGAATATGGGTTAACGAGTAAGGAATACATCTTCATTGGTACGAACCTTTTGGGGAAGCTCAAAACAAAGTCACGAGAGCTTATGCTCAAAGTGGACAATAACATACCATTGTGGAGAGTCGTGATTTCTAAAAAGATATCAGATTTGTTCTCTTAACTTAGCCATGTCAATAGAATCCTCAAATGTCGAACAAAGAAGTTGTGAGCCTCGCCAAAAGTGACTCAAGTGTCGAACAAAGTTCGAGGGCTCCACAGGCCTCAAGGAAGGCTCTATAGTGTACTTTCCATTGGTATGAGAAGCAAAGCCATGAGAGCTCGAGAAGTCGTGATTTCTAATAGGTTTGATAGATTCCAACAGAAGTCAAAGTCAAAAGCTCGAGAATATACCATAAACTAAACAAAATAGAGACAATAAACACGATATATTTCCCTCGAATTCGGGATAAATTTTGCATTATTATTAAGCAAAGAGAATGAAATAAAAAGGAAGTATAATTATACAATTCCAAATATTTTGTGTTTAAGCTTCTAATTCCGTTTCTATTCCATATAAAATTCCACAGGAAAAAAGAGCTCAAAATACATTGGTTTAGTATCGAACCTTGGCCGATTACCAACAAAGAATCCTCTTCAATTCTATCCCTCTAGCAGAAATTTCAGGTTCTGAAGCCCTTCAGCTGAAATGCTTCGTCTAAATCTTGGCCTCTGAAACACCACAGGCTCAGGTGGCTCCAAATGAAAGCTAACCAACACCACTGTTAAGTTGTCCGTGGCTCCTCTCTTTATGGCTTCTTCTACTATTTCCTTGCAGCAAAGCTTCACGTCGTTGTGTTCTTGGAGCCTCCGACGAGCAAAGTCGATAGCGTTTTGACTCGTGAACACGTCCCATATTCCGTCGCTCCCTATGATCAAAAACTCCTCCTCCTTCGTCAATGTTATTAGTTTAAGTTCGGGTTCGGCACTTAATGGTCCACCTCTCTCGCTCATTTCCTTCATTCCTTCAAGATGCCAGTCTCCTAACGCACGAGTGACCCCAAGTAGTCCGTTTAGGTAATCGTCGTCGATGAATCCGCCTAAGGCCTCGATTCTCATGCGTTCTTTTGTGCAGCATGGTCTGTGGTCTTTAGACATTTCTATTGCGCATCCTTGTCTTGATAACACTGCTCGGCAATCGCCAGCGTTTGCTACAAGCAAAGATCTGTTTGAAATGATGACGATTGTTAAAACGAGAAGATCGAAATCGGTGTAAACGAAAGTGAAAACGAGTACCTTCCGAATATCATTGCAGTCAGTGCAGTTGTGCCTGAAGATAGAGATGTTTCGAGAGTGCAAGATCTAGCGAAAGCTGCATCCGTCTCCATAAACGACCTCGTGACCACTTTTTCAAGCGCTAAAGGAAAGTCGGAATCTTCGATGATGACTCTTGGTAAGTGATCACGAACGAATTGTGCAGCGCCTTTTCCTCCGTGACCATCGAATACCTATTTGTTCATGATAAGCTAAAGATCAGAAGTTGCTATCCTCATGGCTCGATCTAATCCAACAGAGTGATAAAACTACGTCGAACCAAATGTACTTGTTTTTATATATGGCTCGAGATGAGCAACGAAAACTAGCTCTACCAACAAACCCGAGAGCTTGGTTGATTCCGATTACAGGAGCGGAACGGGGTTTGCAACGTCCATGTAAAATCTCAAGCCTCCCCTTACCCGACTATCAAACCCGTCAAACAGACCAAGGGCTTACCCACTACCAATCGAAACGCATTACCTCGTCCTCAATTTGGCAACCACTATAGGTTGTTGGGTTATTAGTCATGTAACAGCCTAAGCCCACCGCTGACAGATGGATATTGTCCTCTTTCGCTTTCGCTTGCCCTTTCGGGCTTCAGCCCACCTGCTGACAGATATTGTCCTCTTTGACTTTCACTTTCAGAACCGATGTGGGATCTCACACTTAATTAGGTTTCTACACCTTTATAAAGAATATTTCGATTCCCTCTCCAACCGACGTGGGATCTCACAATCCAGTTCCTCTCTCCACCCGATGTGGGATTTCAAAGTCCACTCCCCTTCGGGACCCAGTTCACAATCCACTCCCCTTTAGGACCCAGCGTGGGATCTCACAATCCAGTTCCCCAGTTCCCCTCTCCAACCGATATGAGATTTCATAGTCCACTCCCCTTTAGGACCCAGCGTGGGATATCACAATCCAGTTCCCCTCTCCAACCGATATAGGATTTCACAACTCACTCCCCTTCAGGACCTAGCGTGGGATCTCACAATCCAGTTCCCCTCTCCAACCGATGTGGGATTTCACAGTCCACTCCCCTTCAGGACCCAGCGTGGGATCTCACAATCCAGTTCCCCTCTCCAACTGATGTGGGATTTCACAGTCCACTCCCCTTCAGGACCCAGCGTGGGATCTCACAATCCAGTTCCCCTCTCCAACCGATGTGGGATTTCACAATCCACTCCCCTTCGGAAACCCATTTCACTGTCCACTCCCCGTTAGGACCCAGCGTGGGATCTCACAATTTAGTTCCCCTCTCCAACCGATATGGGATTTCACAGTTCACTCCCCTTCAGGACCCAGTTCACAATCCACCCCCCTTTATGACCCAAAGAGTTCCCCTCTCCAACCGATGTGAGATTTCACAGTCCACTCCCTTTCAGGACCCAGCGTGGGATCCCACAATCCAGTTCCCCTCTCCAACCGATATGGGATTTCACAGTCCACTCCCCTTCGGAACCCAGCGTGGGATCTCTCAATCCAGTTCCCCTCTCCAACCTATATGAGATTTCCCAATCCATTCCCCTTCGGGACCCAACATCTTCGCTTGCAGACACTCGTTCCTTCTCGTTCCTTTCACAAACATATTTAGTAAAGCTATATAGACTATAATCAGTAAAACTAGTATGCAAGTAAAATTTGGAGAAGTTTGTAGATACTAAACTCTTAACCAACTCCTATACTCAATTAATGAAAAAATAACTATCAAAAAGCACATTAATTTTGAATAACATATCCTATTTTCATGGACGACAAAACTAATGTTCTAATGTTCTCATTCTCGGTCGGGGTCGTATTCGTTTTGCATACGAAGATTCCAAGTCAAAATAACATCAGTTTTATGAACTTACACCATAGAAGGAGACCGCTTCCTCGTTGACAAAACTGCACCCGAACTTCTTAGCCATGTCCTGAATGCATACATGAGTGTCCTCCATATATGGACGCTTTCCGATATCAGACCATTCTCCCGATCTAAGCGCAGGAACAAAAGTCGATGGGCTCTCTTTCCTGTCTACCACTGCAGCGTCCTCGGAAATGCTCTCGAGCTACATGAATCAAGAGAAACGAACAATCAACAAGTTAGATGGGTTCGTTGCCACTTTCTGCATCGACAAAGTTTGAACAATGGCGCTCTTCAAGGAGCGGCATTAACGACTAACAGAGAACCGAAGAGACCCCATCTAGAGGCTTCAATAGACATGATACTAGGAATATCATATCGATTCAGCTACACGAGTATTCAAATTCAGGGAAGTTTTGTCAGTTCAGATCCACATCAACGAACAAGATGCTTTTAAATTCATTCTAGAGTTGGCTTTCCCCCAAGCGAAACGCGCAACCAAAACTAAAAGTTTGATGGAATACAGGACAAGTGAACCAAGTCAAGGTTACAGAGATGTGTACTATTCATAGATACAACTATAACAACTCAAGCCCACCAAGGTTTTAAAAAAATGCGTAGGAATGTTTCGTTCCCCTCTCCAACCTATGTGGGATCTCACAATCCACCCTCTTGGGGGCTCAGTGTCCTCGCTAGCACACCGCCCGGTGTCTGGCTCTATTAAGCCCACTGCTAGCAACTATTGTCCTTTTTTAACTTTCCCTTCCGAGCTTCTCCTCAAGATTTTAAAACGTATCTGCTAGGGAAAGCTTTCCACACCCTTATAATGAATGTTTCGTTCTCCTCTCCAACCTATGTGGAATCTCACAATCTACCCCCTTAGAGGCCCAGTGTTCTCGCTAGCATACCTCCCGATGTCGGGCTCTAATACCATTTATAACAGCCCAAGCCCAAGCCCACCACTAGCAAATATTATCCTTTTTGGACTTTCCCTTCCGGACTTCCCCTCAAGATTTCAAAACCCGTCTACTACGGAAAGACTTCCACACTCTCACAAAGAATGCTTCGTTCTCCTCTCCAATCAACGTGGGATCTCACAACAACAGTCCTCGTTAGTTTTTCTCCCTTATCCTCTCCTTTCGGTCCATACCAAGGGACCATAAACTAAAGTAGGAATTGTACAAGCTACAGAAACAAGAAATTCATGCTCAAAAACTTCAGAAACTCGACAATGG